CATGGTTGAGATATAAACTTAACGATTTCTGGGATTTTCTAACTGTGGAAATCTACAGGTCAATGTATTCTTACTAATACATATATAGCCACACCCAAAATGAATCAGTCTCCTGAGAAGTCTAACATCCTGGGCAAAATGTGGATGAATGTTCTACCGAAGTGTGAAAGTGTGACACACTCAGCCCCTAGTCCAAATGCCAGTGGAGTCCTTGTGTTGAGATGAAACCTTCTGAGCCTGGCCTTTACTGTCCGCCTTCTACCCACATCCTGGTCTTCCGAGCTCTGAGCAGAATCACCATCTCAGCTCTGCTTTCTGCACTCTAAGGTTTCTCTAGCCCATGTCTCCAAACCTTACCAAACTCCTCCAGTAAACAGAGCCCAAAGGCTTCTAAACTACTGGGTCAGTTATAGGTAGAGCAGCAACTCCACATCTGTACCAATGGTTTCCCGTTGTCTCAGCAGAAGTACCCACTATCCACAACTGAGAGATTTCATTGACTTGCAATTCCTATCTGCGATCTGCTGGCTCCAAGGCTGATACTTGGTAGATGGGTATAGGGCAGCAAAGCTGCCAAAGTTCATGACAAACAGGAAGCAGAGCAGGGGCACAGTGTCAGAGGGGAAGGGGCCAGATCACCAGACCCAGACCCCAAGGCCACACCTCCATGACCTTCCCAGGGGCACCTGGGAGTGTGCTCTACCAATCCCCAGGGCCAATCCCAAAGCTAATCAAGTTGAAACGCTACCTTTGCTGCCACACTGGGTAACATAGCTTTTCTTTGGAAGACCATGACTTTGGAACTTTCTTTGGGAAGACTTGTCCACATGAACTGGTGAGACTTTTCCTGACACTTGAATAGCTGACTCTTAGCCGAGCTCTAGCAGTGATAATTGTTTGTGCCCACAACCACCATAGGGGTGGACCCAAGACCTAATGTGGAACGATGAGAGCTGCACCTAGAATTTCACTCGGGTTACTAGGAAACAGATTTCCTTATTTTCCTGGGCATAGAGACACTTCTTCACAAATGATGAGCCTGCCTTAGACTAAGGCCATCCCAAAGAAAAGGGAAAATTTAGCAAAATAAAGCAAACTCTACATGAGCTTCACGCAGTGAAATCCAGTTACAACACTTGCTCCTGAAGCTACTTCTTTCCTGAATTACTTTTTTCTTGCATTCAGAAGAAACTGCTAATGTGAACTTTAGAATCATTTCCTTGCTTTTGCATAGTTTCATTTCTGTGCATACAACCTTAATAACATTAATTTTATATATTTTAATCTTACATATGTAAATTCATCAAACATATATCTTGTTATTTACCACTTTTGTTTAGCACTATCTTCTTGAGAACCACATTATGTTGTTTATAGCTCTAGTTTGCTATTTTCACTATTCTACTGTGATACATTGAATGTCTATATTTCAATTATATTAATCATATAATTTTGAGACTTGATATTACATATGTTTCTGGGAACACACGGCCTGGTGGACATGTGATAAATAATTCTTATAATTAGAGGTCTCACACTACAGAAACTGATGCTTTCGTATTTCTCCGTAACACTGCACTGTTTCTCAGAGTGACAGCATTAATATAAAATCTACCAGCCCTATAAAATTTCTTGTCACTCTATATTTATCTCAACATTTAGTTTTATCAGACTATTCTGTCATTTTTAAAGTATAGTGAAAGTGACATTTAAAAAGTATTTTTCTAATATTTCTTTTAAGTTTTGTAGTTTTATCTTTCATTTTACTTTGAGCCACAAATTCATTTGTCGAATGACTTTCATGATATTATGTGATGACCCAGTTTCTTTCTTTGGACACTTATTTATCTTAGTACAATTTATTGACTCTTCCATCATTTTATGATTTTAATGCTGCTCCTATATGATATCTGTTTTTTTAGTTTCTCTATCTCTGAGCTGATAAAATGCTACATATTAAATTTAATAGTATAGTTTAGCAATATATGTCAGGCTAAGCCAACTCACTTTGCATCATTTTATGATTAGTCTCGGCCCTTGACATTTACACTGACAACTAAAAGTCAAATGCTAAAGTTTATGAAATAAACCTGTAGGACTTTTTTAACAGCATTCTCTGAATCTAAAAACAAATTAGGGAAAAAACAACATGTTTAGAATGCTGAGCTCAGTACAGCACCTAAAATGAACAATTTTGGTGTCATTCCATTTCTTAAACTCTTTTCATTATTTTATCTTTAGTACAATGTTAAGTAAAAGTAATGTTAGTAAGTTTCCATATCTTGGTTCTCATCTTAAATAGAACCTTTCTAATCAATAACCAAGTATACTGCTAGCTACAGACAATTTTTATAAATATACTAAATCAATATAAAGTTCTTATTTCTAATGTAGTAATTGCCAACTGTCACTCTTTATTCAATATTGTATGAGAAGTTCTTGCTATGAAACCAGAAAAAATAAATTTCAGACAAAAGGATTGAAAACACAAAATTAGTATCATTTTCAAGTGATATAATTATCTATTTCAAAACAAATTATTTTGCAGAAAATTATTGGAAATAAAAAAAGAATAAAGCAACATATACTAATTTAAGTTCATTACCTAGAAGTCTATTTTGATTCCATATACTAGCAAAAGCAATAAGCAAATATCCAGAAAAAGAAGGCATCTTCAAAAACAATATAAAAATATCAAATACCAAGGAATAAATCAGGCAAAAATGTGCAAGATTTCTAGGGGATTAATTTATTAAGATTTATAAATGCAATCTAATTAAATAAACATCCATTCCATGCTAATTTATAGGTAAATTTAACATTCAAATGATAATTTCTCCAATTCATAAATATGCAGTTTCAGGGAAAATATTGACAAAGAAAATACATTAGCCATATTGGAAAGAAATAACTCAAAATGTCTGCTATTTCTAAAGTACAGTTTAGGGTGACTGCTGTACATGAAAGTTAGGTGCTTGGAGCGGGGTAGGGTGGCACAGGTCTGTGGTGCGAGCACGTGGGGAGCCAGAGGAGGACTCAAGTGCGAGCCTGGCCTTGGCACGGAGCACATTGGTGAGGCTCTGTCCCGAAATTTAAAACTTTAAAAAGATGGGATGTAGTTCAGTGCAAAGACCCTGGGTGCAACCCCTAGGAAAGAAAAAGAACAAAAGAAAAGTGGGAGGGAGGGAAAGAAGGAGGAAAGGAAGGATGAATCGGTAAGGGGAATACGGCTGCTTATTGTTCCGGGTATCTTGTATTTCATTCCGTTTAGTTTTTCCTTTTTAGTTTCTCCTTTACTGGTATATGTTTGTAACACATAATAATTGCATTCATCTCAGGGAAAATATATATCATATACATCTATAAAGCCATATACCATATGTATGATTTTTAGATACATTTCTCAAACGAATGGGATAGCCTGGGTGGACCACAGCAAATGACTCCACCATGCTGTGGATTTCACTGAACTGGCCAGCGCAGAGTCCAAGCAGGAGAGCAGAGGCAGAGAGCAAGCTGGGGGAGTGGGGACTGCGCTCTGAATCCCTCCCGGGAAGAGCGTCTTGGCTGGCCACGTAACCACAAGGAAATCATGGTTTTTCTCAGGATTAGTCCCTTTATAAATAAACCCTCTCCCAGTTATGATGACTGTACTGCCTATTTCCTTTAATGACCCTGAGTAATCACCTGAATACAGTAAATATAGTGTGAAGAATGAAATAAGTGCAAGTAATCCAGTGAACTTCAGATTCAGAGTACTTTGACCTTTACGCAGCATATTCTAGGACCCAAAGCTTGAGAAACCGCACATTGCATTAAAATCTCACTAATATTTAAGAGCTGCAACAAGAAATGCAAGGTATTAGAATATTAAGTATGAGTGACTATTTGCTTAATTTTTATAACTAGAATACATTTTCTTAATATTGAATATATAATGTATAATTTCTCGTGTGCATTGGCAGTGAGATCTTGCTAGATTATGGCTATGAAGAAGACCCTTAGACATTAGTTTTCAGACAAGAAAGGAGATCAAAACTAGAAAAGCAAAACTTTACTAAATTTTCCTAGTGACATACAGAGGAACTTGGTACCCCATTCTTACTTGTCTGATGAGAACACTCTCCTTTGCTCATTTTAAAGAACAATTATTGATGAATACTGAGTGCTCCAGTAGACTCCAGCGAAGTGAAATATTTACTCAAATGCTTAGCTAGGAAATTTGATGACTCGGGAGTAGTAAAGTAGTGATGTTAGTACAAAATTTAATGGTGGGCCTAAATTTGTATAGCAGTCATATGTGTTCCATATTTGCTAAAGACCTCCACTTGGATTAAGAGAAGAATAAAAATGAGAACAAATAGAAGTCACACATTCAATAGTATTTTGGCTCCAATGAATGGCTGGACATAGGCTGGAATCATGAACGTTGACTATTCATGAGTATTACAAGAAGTAATACAATAGAAGTTTTGATTATGCAGGAATCAACTGCAAATGTGCAGAACCACACACACATGAGTAATTAAAGCATCCATGGTAAAGTAGCAACTTCTCTCATTCACAAACAACCTTAATCCAATGTGAATTTAACCAAAAGTTTTCAATCATAATGTTAAATCATAACATGTGTACATATTGAGTCCAAGAGATCATGTAATAGTCTTTATTAAGATGCTTGAAATTAGGCTAAGCCCTAAGTGTAATGTGGTTTGAGTGGCTTGCTCAGAGACAAAACCATGAATCATGGTGTTTACAGCCCAAGGAGCCTATGATTCATTATCCAAAGTGTAAGGTAGAGAACAAATGCAGTGTGTGACTGAATACATATGCCAGTGAAGGTCAGGACAATGGCATGTGGCCAAGCTAAATTACTCTTGAAAAACAGAGAGTGGCTCCAAAGACATCAGCTCTTTTCCACTGTGACTCTTCCAGTCAATTTGTGTGTATGGATCAGGTTCTATGGCTCTGACCCTCTCTGGAAATAAAGGACACAAGAATATTATCCTAAGATATTCATTATATGGATAGGCAATTATTAACAAATTCAATACAACCTGTTTCTATCAGAGTGACACTAATCTTATATAAATAAAAGAATGGGATAATTTGATTAAGTTAATAATATTGATAAAACACAGTAAAAATGATAGCTAATCCTTACTGACAGGACATGGTGCCAGACCACTATGATCATCACTTATCAGCAGTTATGTTTACTGTGTTCTATACACTATGATAAGAACTACCTTTATTATGTCATAATAACAATCACATGAATTAGATGCCATTAATAACATGAATTTAGCAATACGTGCTGCATAAACATGTAAAGAAACCACTGACTGAGTCAAAACTGATAGTTAGGAAATTTAACTAATTGACCTAAGCCCATTAGGAAAAGCCAGGGAACATAAGCTGACTTTATGAGCAAATTCTGAACAGGAGACATAAAGGAAGATTGAGAAAAGGAGTATGCCAAGTACTGAGAATGCCAAATAGGAGATACAGAAGCAGGATGAGTTTGTATGTTTGTGAGTAAAGGGTACAAAAGTCTAAGTAGGACGGGGAACCCTGTAGGGAAGTATCAGAAAAAACTACATTTTTATAGGATGAGGAAGGTGAACTTCCTTGGAAGGAGAATAGTTTAAATTTGTCCTATAAACAGCATGGCCAGAGGAAAGTGTTGTTTAATAAATATACAAACTAGCAGCATTAGGAAGTAGGATTTGGTGGAAGGAATCTGTCATTTAATATGAGAAGCATTTGTAGCAGTCTAAGCAGGATTATGAAGGTCTGGATTCTGACAGTGTTTGCAAAGGAAATTGATAATAACAGATAAGTACAAAATAGCTTGAAAGAGGTGCTGGGTTTTAGCTCTATGCTAGAGCACTTGCATGGTGTACAAAAGATCCTGAGTTCAATCACCAATGAGCTAAACCCCTGGTGCCTCTTTAAACATAGTTTATGCCTGTTACTCTTTATTTTGTTTGCAATCAAATGGCTATAGAAGCAAAGGCAAAAGTTAAAGCACTGAAGATTGATAGGTAAGTGGAGCAAATTACACTCTCATTAAAAGAAAAATAGATGTGGAATACACTGGTTTTTCCAAAAGACTGCAAAATAAAAATATACACAAGTTGCAAGGAAGAGAAAAACTTCATATGTAATATTAAGTGACAGGGTTGCCTCCAAATGTAGATAATACAGGACTCTTTTAAAATATTGAAGCATGGCACAAGTGCAAAATCAGCCTCAGAGACATAGACTTTTAAACTGTAGTGTTTTTACAGAGGTACTTGAGACAGATATAAAACATGTTTGATGAAACAGAAAGCCCCAGTTCAAGTTGTGATCATGGAACTGAACTTGAGTAAGAAATTTAAACTCTCTGTAATTCAAGTACTCTGTGCTTTAAATGGGGAAGGTAATAGCTACCTCCAAAGTTCTTTGAGTGCACAAAGGGAGCCTGCAATCTGTGAAGCTACGTAGACTTAAAATACTGTGATACATTTAAAGTCATGATAACTGAAGGATAGGCATTGTTAAATGTCTGGTAACAGGCTTCAAAGTTGAGACTTTAGTCTTCTTTCCTTGATTGAAGAGTAGGTGATTCATTATTGCAAGCACACACTAAAAGGTCCATTGGCAAGCCTGCCTCTGAAACAGCAAAAATAATGCGAAATCTGTGTTAGTCATTTTCTGGTCACTGGGCCAAACTAGCACATACCCACAACTTAAAGAAAGAGAAGAGCAATATTTTGGCTCACAGTTCTGGTTCAAGTTTGGCTGGCTTCAAGACAGAACAGTAGGCAGGGAAAAGGTGAGCAACGCAGAGCAGCCAGAACATGGAGAGAAAAATCAGCAGTTAAAAAAAATACACCCTTCTAGGTCAAGCCATTCGTCACCCACCTCCAGCCAGGTTCATCTCCTAGCAGCACACCCAGGTGCTGCGCTCATCCATGGCTGAATCCACAGACGAATGGAATGCAGCACCTCACGACCAAGCCACCTTCCAGACATGGCAGACTTTTGGGGGGACATGCTAACTCTAAACCAGAACAAAAGCCTTTCTAGTTTCTGGAAAAGATACCCTTGAATAATTGTCTTTAGGGTTTGTATATTGAAAAATATAATTTAAACCAACAAGGAAGGGGAAAAAGCAGACACATTTCCTCAGAAAGTCATGTTGTTATGTCAACTTCATATGGGTAAAGACGCACCTTAAATGGTGCTTATGTTTATCTGATAATCATTTGTAAACTTGGAATTATATATTACTAACTTATAAACTGAAGCATTTAGGCACCTTGTTTGATTTGCGCATGTATGATAATCCACTCTTGATTGTATTAGATTTCTTAGAGTTAGCAGCTGCATTGCAATAAATATTACTACCTTTGTAAAAACTTGAAATGGAATGCCTGAACAAGGTGCATGCTCTTAGAAAAGCAAGGTAAGCTATGCTGTTTTACAGTATCAGTGTTTTATTTGTAAAGATCGATCTGAAAAATATTTTACCCAATGTATCACCTTTGCTTGAATGAGACCTTTGCATCTTGATATTTCTTAAGTATTTTACAGCTCGAGGATAAGTAGATAATGAAAAACGCCTAATAGAAATTCAAAACAACTTGTGGTTACGTTTTCAGTTGGCTTTTCCCCTCCCTTTTTTTTTTTTTTTTTTTGTATGCTTGTCAGTGTTTGAGCTTTCATTTTTAAACACCACAGATGTTACTTTTTCACCTTCTAAAAGTGTTTGAAAAATTACAAGGAAATTATACTGGTTCTCTCAGTTCTCACCAGTACTTTGAGCCTCCCCAAGAGAGAAATGTCTTGATTTTTCTGTGTGGTCCCAGTACCTTGGACAGTACCAGCCATACACCCTCATTGAATATCTACTTTGAAAGATGAAATGGTTTTATCATAGTTCTGTCTTGTATCGCTGGCGATATCATTCACCAGGTATTTAACATGCTTTATTTTGCTGTAATGATTGCCTGCATGCAAGCTACTCCGAAATTGTCTTTTTTTTAATGCAAGATTTGGAAAATAGAATATTTTACGCTAAAATTCATGCTAGCATAAACATTTATTATTGTTTCAAGATATTTCTCTCCAGTTCCTAAAAACACCATACTACAGTAAAAGAACTTTAATTTCTAAAAAAGCCCCTTCCAAAGCCCACTTACTCTCTCTCTCTTCTCTCTCTCCCTCTCTCTCTCTCTCTCTCTCTCTCTCATCTTCTAGTGCACAAAGGAATTCTTATAGGTAGCAGGGAAGTTCCCACGCCCCCCTCTAGAAAAAAAATAAGAAGTGAACTGGAAGAAAAAAAGAGAAAATTTCACTCTCTTTTAAAAAATACTACTGGCTCACTGTAAATTGTGAACGCATAGATTGTGACCTCTCGTTTAAACTGATATTTTATAAATGCATTGTTCCTGGCTACTGTTACTCACGTGCTCTACAATAAAGACTGTGGATCCCAGCCACGGCCTCTTATTTCCACAAAAGACACTGGCACCCAATACAGGAGAGGGACATTGTGGCCAGGGCTGAAGGGTCGTGCAAAGGATCTTTGGAAGCGGTGTTGGCTCCCTGGGCCCTGAATTAGCACGGTTTCTCAGGAAGCCTTTGTCTGCGGGACGGTGGGCCTGGCAGCATTCTCCCTGCGTGGCAGCGACATCGGAAGACTCCGCCCGGGCTGGGGGCGGGGAGGCGGCGCCGCGTGCAGAGCTCGGCAGAGGGAAAGTGAGCGAACAAAGAGAACTCAGAGCCGCCCAGCGCCCGCAGCTGCATCCGGAGACGCTGGTCACGTCCCGAAGGCTGCTCCGCTCCGCCTTCCCGGGAAAGAGCTCTCGTAAATAATTGATGGAGATTGAGCCGACCCGAGACAAAGCTTTGCAGGAAACCAATGCATCCGACCCGAAGCGCTTTTGGAAGCTTCTGCCGGGAGCGGGATACAAGAAAGGAGCGAAGGGGCGAGGACTCTGAGCGCGGCTGCAGCGCGCCCAGCTCGGGCGTGGCTCGGGCCTCACTGCCTGCGCGCCCCAGTCCCTGCACCCCTGGCCCTCGTGCCCACCTTGGCCTCGCTCCTCTGCAAACTCGCCTCCCTCTGGCCACCGCTACCCGGCTCTCCCGCGCAGGCCCGTGCGCCCCGCGCCCAACCCGGCGAGCTGAGCTCTGCAGCTCGCTGCGCGAACGGCCGCGCGTCTGGCACCGCTTCGCACCCAGGTTGCGCGCGCCGCGCTCAGCCCCGCCAAGCCTCCCACTTTCCCCATTGTTCCGAGAGCCCCAGTGGGTGTGGAACTCGGCCCGGGGTCCTGCTCCACCAGAAGGGCGTCTTTCGATTACGAAGCTGAACTTTCCTGGGCTCTGAAAGGCACAGACGCAAACCGCGGTCTCCGGAGAACCACCGAGAAAGAGCTTTTGATTCGCGTCCGCTTCTTGGAGACACCGCCTCTGCTGAGAAGTGAGCGGGTCTGGATTCCTAAAGGGGATGAGAAACGGGGTGGGTCGGCCGGCAGATAAAACGAGATTCGGTGTTGATTTGGGCCGTGCTGGGTTGCTTGGGTGGCCACTTCCAAAGGGGAAGCCGTGAAGAGCTTTGACACTTTGAGGGAATCACGTGACAGCAGCCAGGCGCCTTCGATTGTGCAGCCCAGGTCCTGCAGCCCGAGCTTTCCTCTGGGTGAGAGCTGCCTGGGACCAAATGGAAGCGTTATCTCACGCTTCTCACCTCTGGAACGGCTCAGTCTAATTTACAGCAAAACTAAATTTACATTGGCGATATAGCGTAGCTGGGTGTGACCCTTGCTGATTGACTAGACCAGACAGTCCACGTAGTATTCCGCCTCCAGGAGATGTAGAAAGTTGACGGGCAACTCTCCTCCCCTGTGAAGCTTATCTTCCTCTTTATATTCCAAAGTCAGTTGGAAGAAGATGCCAGAAAGAAAGAAGTGGAGGAGGCTTTTAGTAATTTATGATTATTACGAGTATTACTTACAAAATGGGAAATAACTGTATGCTTAAAATAACTGAAATAACCCAAGTAAAGCAATAGCAGTTAAATCTCCCGAAAGGAGGAAGGGTTTTCTTTTTCAGAGCTTTATGCCTAGTCATGCCCTGTCAGTGCTTTAGAGAGAAATGATATTTCCAATGAAAAGACACCAAATTGTCTAGCTAACCGGATCACTAGGGAAAAGAAAAGCCAGGACACAGTAGCTTGCTGTTTGCCAGAGTAAAAAAGTCAGTGATGGATTTATCTTGGAAAGCTACACAATAGAAACTGATCTTAACCACCAGGAAGGAAGATGCGGCCGCCTTTTGAGAACAACACCATCCTATCACACAGGAAGGGGCGGGCTCCTTAAAAGCAGGACAGTCTGGTATGCATCACCTAACGTGCTTAAGAACGAGTATATACTTTCTAGCTTGCAGTTGCATAAAGAGTAAAGTAACCTCCAAAAAACTACAAAACAGACTAAGAGTAGAAGAATTCATCCCCTGGAATTTAAGAACCATCCCTTCACTTTTCTAAAAGTATTTTTAAGAACTAGAAATGAATCTCTCCTAGGTTGTGAATAACTACATCATCCAGATAATTTCTATTGCCATTATTTTCTTGAAACTGAGGTTGATTTAAAGTCATTTGTCATATTTTCTTTCAGTTAAAAGAAAAGTTGTATTTTCTTTCAGGCTTATTCTAAAGAAAATTGGGCACATTGCTCTAAAAGCATTAGGGATTGAATCTGCTCGAGGCAAAATGATGTCGTTTATCCCTTGCAAACTCATGAGGATACTAAGTACATAAAACTTTTTGCACTAAACCGGCCTTTAAATACAGATCTGACAGCAGGGAAAGCAAAAGTTGAAAAAGCGGAGGGTTGACGATTAGAACATGTGCGCATCTCCTTTGCCCTCGACGTTATCCTCTTCTGTACTCCGCCTCCCTTCCCAGCATCTCCTTTCTGGCCCTGTGTCTCACTCACCCTTCCCCAAACCCGCTGTCTCCAGAAGGTTCAGCTACTTTCAGATCCATCATTTTGCTGACTTAGAGACGGAGTCAGCGCCACCCTGGGCGAAATGAGAACTGACAGCTTTGCCTCGCGCTGCTGAGGTCCAAGCGCCGGCAACGCTCGTTATCCCGGGGGCTGTGGCGCTCAGCTCCGAGCAGTGCAGACACACCGCGCGTCTCTTTCCTTCTGTTTCTGCCCCAGCTTGGAAAGCTCGGTTGGAGGCGGTGAGGAGGGAAGAGGAGGATGTAGACATGGACGGTCCCGAAGGCATCCGGTAGCTCCTCGCACACGCCATGAGTCAGCCACCGCCCGGGGGCGCTGTCCCCGCCGCCTCCGAGGCTCGCCTGCACCCCGAGGGCAGCAGCCGGAAGCAGCCGCGAGCCCAGTCGCCCGCCAGGCCCAGGGACAGCGCCCTCCGGCAGACC